CAGGGAAGAAGACCCTGTGGAAATACATCCTGGCCACTGTCCTGGGCCCTCCTGCCTGCCCCCAGTACTCAGGAGGCATTTAGAAAAAAGGAAAAAAAGAATTCACTGGGTTTGTCTTTTGAGCTGCAGGCTGGGAGCAAGGCTTCCTTTCCTTCTGGGCTGGGGTCTGAAGGGAGATGGGAGGGGCTCAGAATCCATGGCTTGCTGCAGCAGGTAACCCCAGATCTACTTGGCTCCAGGACTGCAGCTGGGGGCAAGATAAGGGCAAGCCAGAGCCTTCCCAGTTATCTCTGATTAAAGATGCCAGACCCCCTGAAGGAGGGGGCTCTCCTCCAGCTACAGGGGCCATGTGTTCTAAACTCTCTGGCTGAACCAATAGGAGGAATCCCATTATCTCCTCTGTCGGCTCTGATTTGCAACAAATAATGGCTTGATTAATTAATAAGCAGGCCAAGCTGGATAGAACAGACCCAGGGATGACCTTGGTACCTCCACTCACAGGGGTGGGGGATGGTGGAGGGCTTTGCTGGGGAAGAGAGACAGGAACAAGATTCTGAGGAGCCCACAGAGCGTGTGCATAAATCCTGAGGAAAAAAAGCATCCTGTGGTTGGCTAGTTTTCAGAGCTGTGGCCCTGAAGGATGTGGGGGGCAGATGGCACCATCCGGGTCTCAGAGTTTCAAATAGAAAAAGCTAAAGTGGGTGGGGGTGGAAAACAGGGTGGGGGTTGGGGGAAGCAAACATCAACAACACCACACACACACACACACACACACACACACACACACACACACACACACACACACACACACACCTGCCACGAAAGGATAATTCTGTCCTCTCATCTCCCATCTGGAGACCAGCCAACTTCATAGAGGGCCAACAGGGAACTGGGTCACAAAGCTTAGCAGGATGGAAAGGGCCTGCATAGGGGGAAAATGTGGGGGGAGGTGACAGTCCTGTGACCCCCCCACCAGAGATCAATGGCACCACATAGCCAAGGATCAGGGCCGGTCGCCCAGGAAGTTATGGCACCATCCCACCCCCCATCCCCATAGGACGGGCGGGTTTCAAAAGGCTCAGTGTTTTAACTGGAGGGTGGAAAACACTGCTTGGGCCCTTTCTAAAAAGGCAGCATCTGTGGGGGCTGCTATTTATTTATTTATTTATTTTCGAGCGGCGGCTGGAAGTGCAGCTGCAATGATGAAAGAAGGGGAGGGGCACCCCATTCGAGGGAGAGAAAATCAGTCATTCCCTGGTGATTAGTGAATAATTTCCCCCAGTCAGAACGAAGGACATGCCCTATTAGGTTTAAAATAGACTAGTCTTCATTTAATCTGTCCCTTCACAGCCTCCCTATTACCTTGGAAATATTGGTAACCCCCACGAAGGGGCCCGGTGATGGATTGACTTCACCAATTCCCCGCTTATTTCAGCATCCAACATCCGGACCCCTTTAATGACTCATTCCCAATAACTTTATGAAGTTATCCTTCTTTGCTCCGTGCCTGTCTCTTCTTTAACTGTCCCCCTCCTCCCATTCTCTCCCCTCCTCCCATTCTCTCCCCTCCCCCGTCTTTCCTTTCCCCCCTCCCCCCAAAAGGATTAAATTCTCAATTGCGTCTTTGTGCTCGAGTTGATGGGCCATACATCATATATTAATCCAATTCCTGAATCCTTCCAGCTTTCCCTGGTGGCCTCAGTGTTTCATTAACCGCTGTGGTGGTAAATTGCTGGAAGCAGATATATCACGGCCCTTTCTCTGGGGTTACTAAATATTTCTGAGGCAGTAAGGACCCTCTGAGGAGAGCGATGGCGTGCAGTGCGTATGAGTCACCCAGCAAGGCACTTCAGGCTCCATGAGGGGAATATTTATGAGCGCTCCTGCACCCGTGTTACTGAAGACAGCGGGCCCGGGCATCTGCTGAATTGGGGAGCAGGGAGGGAAAGAAGGGAGACAGATGTCCTCCATCCTCTGTGTCTGCAAAGGGGCTCCCACGTTGGCGGAAGAACTGAGCAGGGACAGGGGGTGCTCAATCTCCCGCAGTGCGAGGCAAGAGCCAGGGCCAAGCCCCAGAAGGAGGGCAATGAAATTGCAGCCTTCTATCTTCTCTGCATATGGTAAAAAGACAAGGCCCAGGGGACTGCAAATAGAAACTACTGGAGAAAAGGGGGAGGAAAAAAGAACAACCCCACAGAAGCTGCAAACCTCCCCCATGCCACTCACCAGGTCCCAGCAGCAAAGAAGGAAACAGGCATTTATTAAGCACCTACTATATGCCAGGCACTATGCAAAGTGCTTTACAACTGTGAACTCATCTTGTACTCTACACCGGGAAAAAATAACAATTTCCAGATAATTTTTTTTGGAAGGGGAGGAAAGCTATGACTAAGACTACATTTTGGGGGGGTTTGTTTTTGTAGCCAGGCAACTGGGTTCACTGACTTGCCCAGGGTCGCACAGCTAGTGAGTCTCATGTGTCTGAGGCTGGATTTGAACTCAGGTCCTCCCGACTCCAGGGCCAGTGTTCTATCCACTGCACCACCTAGCTGCCCCTAAAAATACCTTTACCAAATTGCCTTTCTCATCCTCCATCCAATTCTCACCATGTGACTCTGGTCTTTATGAAACTTTGAAACAAAGCACATTTTTCTCTGACCTCTTGACAATGAAGTTAAAAACCTTAGGGAAGTTGTTTGCTTGGTTTTTTTCCCCCTGACAATTCAAAGCCCTGAAGATATAACTTAGTAATGAAAATCCCTCCTTTGAGGTGTCACTTGCAATAGAGCAAATTAATTTCATTCAAGATACTGTTGTATAAGAGCCAAACTATTTACGATGACACTGGTTTTAAAAGTTACATCATCATCATTTTTTTATAGCAAGCATTTTATATTATGTCCTCCTAACAACCCTGGGGGTAAGAGATATCACCACCATCTTCATTTTACAGTTGAAGAAACTGAGGCAGACACAAGTTTAAGTGACTTGCCAAAGCTAATAGACAGTGAGAAAGTGAGAAAGAAAAAGCACTTGAAGCCATTATGGAGACATCCCATCCCCAACCCTTTTAAAACCTCAGGTAAGGGGCAGACATGACACTAAGGAGGCATCTGAAAGATACTTAGGACTTTTGGCAGGTGCCAAGTCTCCTGAAATTAGGGGGAATCTCCCACCACCTTGCCCCATCCTCAGGCTTTCCATTTCTGCATTGTGACTTCATAAAGACCCTTTGCCTCCAAATGCCATTGTTTTTGGGGTTTTTTTGGTTTTTTTGCTAGGCAATGGGGTTAAGTGACTTGCCCAGGGTCACACAGCTAGTGAGTGTTATGTGTCTGAGGCCAGATTCGAACTCAGGTCCTCCTGACTTCAGGGCCAGTGCTCTATCCACTGCACCACTTAGCTGCTGCCCCAGGTGCTTTTTCATTGCTCACTGACTTTGACATACATTCTCACTTGGTCCTCACAGGTTTTATCCATTTTTTGTTTTCCAGGTAAGGAGAGACCCCAAGTTCAGGGGTCTGCGTGAGAACTATCTTAGAGAGATAGGGGGAGAGGGCAAAGAGTGCTGACATTCTTGGAAGACAGTAATGAGATGGTGAACATTGGCTCCTTGGGAGCTGGGGGGTCAGGAGATGGTGAACATTGGCTCCTTGGGAGCTGGGTCAAAGGGGTAATGGGCCTAGGCAGAAGGAAAAAAAGCAAATGAGTTAACTCCCAGCCAGCTGGAGAATTTAGGATTTCTGGGCCTTCCTCCAGATTCAGGGAGGGCCAGTTTCACTCCCAAAAGGCAGCACTTCTTGAGACTTAAAATTGTCATCACCAGCAGGTATTTGGGATGAAGTCCATCCCAGCCACCAGATGCTTTAATCGTGGACAGGCTGAAGAGTCCCCACAATGTAACTGCTCCCAATTGTGCAGGGCAGGAGATGTCTGTAGAGAGTTCTAGGTAGGAATTTTGTGCATCACTTGAAGCAGCAGATTTTCTTCCCTCCTCAAACCCCTTCCCATTTTTCTTTGCGGTTTAATTAGTATTTCCAAGTGGTGTAATCCCTCCGGGAACAGTCATAAAAATCCAGGAGAGAATCACTGCTAACAATGGTTCTTAATTAGGAAGTGCTTCACTCTAGACTGCAGCGTGCGTGCGTGTGCGCGCGCGCACGTGTGTGTGTGTGTGTGTGTGTGTGTGTGTGTGTGTGTGTGTGGTGTGCGTGCATGTGAGGCCAAGACCCAAAGACTCAGGCAGCTGCACAGAGATGGCAGGGCTTGTGGGGATGGTTGGATGAAGCCTGGCCCTGGGTGGGGTGCGCTGAAAAGGATAACCCAGCCAGTGCCTTTTATCACTACTGTCATTTGAAGGCCAATTCCCAATTTTCTGTTGTTTCTGCTCTCTTCAGTTTCTTACACCCGGAAGCTTTATTCATGGGCTTTTTGCACAGCTGGGAGCCAAGGTGACTGGAATGTGATGAGCGACTCTAGGAGGGTTTTCTGTTTAGACCGAGAGGGCATCTAAAGGCCATCTAGTTCAACAAGACCTATTCATTTGACAGAGGGAGAGACCGAGACCCGGAGTGTAGAAGGGACTTATCCAAAATCACACAGTAAATATGTGGCAAGGCTAGGAGCCAGTCCTCTGTGCCTCAATTTTATCATCTGTAAAATGGGAATAATGATTTCTTACTTTCCCTACCTCATGGGTTCACTTTGTGCATCTCAATAAATGGAATTAGTATTACGGGCGTCTGTCAGCTCCTCTTTCTTTTAATCAGGTCTTGAAAAATTAGATAGCTTTCCCCCCTTTGCAAGAAATGGATTTGATCTGACCTCGAGAAAAGGCAGGCAGCCATCTTCCCAAGTATCTAGTATGTAGTGTACAACCAAGATAGGCTGTGGAGTGGCTTAATCCTTTGTCAAACAAAGTCCAGCTCTTGAGCATGCGCGCGCACACAAACACACACCCCCCGAGTCCTAGCCACAGACTAGAAACACGTCCACTTTACCTGTCGGCTCTCACTTCTCCAGACACCATTGACAGTTTTTGTTGGCGCGATGGTGACCACCGGGGGCGTGCTGGGGACGCTGTGGCCCCCCGGAGGGACAATGATGGGGCCCATGGGCACTCGCTTGGGCGTGCTAGCAGGAGAGCTGTGGTTGGTTGCTGGAGAAGAGACTGGGGAAGACTCACTGCTTATTGAAGACCCTGCAAGAGAACAAAGAGTGTGAAGCACGGGGGAAGAAAAAAGGACAACACGGCAGCACTGCATTTAGGATGGGTGTGTCAAGACCCCAAGGCGATGGCAGGCACCATGTCCACCCCATCAACCAGACTGATTCAAGATTGCAGAGCCTCCCACAGAGGTCCTCCTCTTTCCTGCCTGAGATGAACAGGAGAGAGGGACGGAGGGAGGGAGGGAGATGTACTGGGCCGAGGCTGGACCACCTGGGACCAAGATTGGGCACGTAAGCCTGGGTCAGGTGACTTCACTTTCCTTCTGTAAAATGAGAGGAGAGGAGTAGATTGTTTCCGCAATCCCCTTCCAGCCCTGAAGTTCTTCTGCCGGACCTCCTGAAGTGGCCTTTCCTTTCTCTCAACTCTTCTAAGGACTGTCTATGTGGTTCCTGAAATGCCTTTTGGCTCTAAACGTGTGCTCTTCAGGTACTTCCATACAGGCAGCTAGAGCATCGGGCCTGGAATCAGGGAAGTCTTAAGTTCAGATCTGGCCTCAAGACTCTTGCTAGAGGGGCAGCTAGGTGGCGAAGCGGATAGAGCTCCGGCCTTGGAGTCAGGAGGACCTGAATTCAAATCTGGCCTCAGACACTTGACGCTCCTAGTTGTATGACCCTGGGCAAGTCACTTAACCTCTGGAAGCCTCAGTCTTCACAAGAAACAGTATCTGTTTCGAGCTTTAAAACTTTCTATGACTCATTAGCTATTATAAATCTTATTGTTACTCTTATTACAAGACGGTTCAACTCAGAGCAGGGCTCAGAGCTTCTCCTAGTGCATTTAGGCATCTGTTTGTAGCTATTCACTGCAAAGTGAACGAAAAAAACCCACAGACACTGTAAGAAGAGCTCTGGACTTGGGAGGCGAATGTAGTTTCTAGTCCCAGCTCTACTAACAACTCCTTCTGTGTCCTAATAGGGCAAGTCACCGGACTGCTCTGAGCCTCAGTTTCCTCATTTGTAAAACAAGAGGATTGGATCTGATGGCTTTGGAGAGCCCTTCCGGGACTCAATCTCTAATTCTGGGCCAGTGCTCTTCCAATGATCCTCAAGCAGGAAAAGGGGGCACCCAGACACTTATTTAGCATCTGCCAGGCAAATCAGTGGGCAGCTAGGTGGCGTCATAGTGCACAGAGTGCCAGGCCTGGAGTCGGGAAGACTCATCTTCCTGAGTTCAAATCTGGCCTCAGACATTTACTAGCTGTGTGACCCTGGCCAAGTCACTTAACCTTGTTGCCCTCAGTTTCCTCATCTGTCAAATGAGCCGGAAAAGGAAATGGCAAACCACTCCAGTCTCTCTGCAAGAAAACCCCAAATGGGGTCACAGAGTCAGACATGACTGAGATGATTAAACAACAAAATCAAATCAATATGCTAGTTTTCCAGGCACATCTCCAGTTGAATGGTCTCCAAGAGGTTTTGCTCCCCTTTCCCCAATAACCTCACAATGCCCATGTCTTTTGCCCCTCTCTCTAATGCACTTAAATATATTTATCTATGAGTCTTATCACCTGACCAGACTGTGAAAGCAGCTAACCTGTCTTACCTAAACTTCGTAGCTACACAGAACTGGAGTCACAGATCATGAGTTCTAATTCTGACTGTTAAGCTTTGAGCTTCACATCAAATGGGCCTCAGTTTCCTCATCTGTCAAATAATGGGGTTGGACCAGATCACCAGCGGTCTCCTTTATTTCTGAACCTGTAATCCTCATGCCTAATACAATGTTCCACACATAGAAGGTGTTTAACAAAATGTCTGCAGAGCTCAATCTTTTGGCCATGCTTACCCTTTCCCATCGAGAATCAGAGTTGAGTGTATGAGTCAAAATTAGGACAAAGGCTCAGGAGACGCTAAGCTTCCTATAGACGCCAAACCCCATCAAACCCAGTTCCTGTGACAGGGTAGGGAGGGTTGGGACAAAACTGCAGTGATGTATCATGAAAAGAGTAGCAGGAGGACCCATAGTAGAATTCTGGCTTTGTAAAAGAGACAACCCCCCAAAATTAAAAAAAAGCAGGGCAGCTAGGTGGCTTAGTGGATAGAGCTCTGGCCTTGGAGTCAGGAAGACCTGAGTTCAAATCTGGCCTCAGACACTTGACACTTACTAGCTGTATGACCTTGGGCAAGTCACTTAACCCTGATTGTCTCACCAAAAAGCAAAAAAATTAAATTTAATTTAAAAATTTAAAAAATAAAAGAGACAACCCAAGATCTCATCCAGCTAGAAAGTCTGTGATGGATCCCAGAGGTTCCTCCATCTAAATAAGCCTAAACCAAAGGCCTACTGTGTGCATTTTGCTGTCTCAGGTGCTTTGGGGGCTCCAAAGATGAATAAGATACGATCCTTGATGCCATAGGAAATAAACAGAAAGCTAAGCAATATAGGAAACTGTCAAGATAATCTATATTGGCCTTTCGGCCAATGAGTAGTCATTGATTACCTGGTCTAGGCACCAAATAAAAGTATGGAGAGCATTGTGAACATGCATGGTTTGGGAAGGCTCCATTGGAGAAGGTGAGGCTTGAACTGGGCTCTAAAAAATGGGAAGGCAAAGATGGGCAGGGAAGAAAAGACAAATGATCAAAATGGTCTTTTAATCCAGTTTTGTGCAGGATTGAGAACAAGTAGGGGGAAGGGGGGGGGGGGAAGTGCTGAGAAAGGAAACTTATAGCCATGCAGGTAAAGATAAGGGAAGATGCCAGAGATTTTCAAAAGAACTCGAACCCTGGTGACTGAATAAAGCTGTGTGAGTTTGAGGGAGAGAGGATGGAGATAAGCCAAAGATAATTCAAAGATTCTGAGACTTGAGCTGACTTGGTGGCACGGCAGAGAGAAACTGGAAGTCAGGAAGGAGAGGAATGATGAGGAGTTTCACTTTAGATACTGTTGAGTTTGAAGTGACAGGGCATTTGAGGCAGCAGGCAGTTAGTTATACTGAACTGGAATTTGGGGAGAGAGGGGGATAGGGCCCATTGGCCATGGCACTTGGGGCCTACTTTGAAACAGGGTTTCAAAGCCTCCAAAAACTATTAGTAATTTGTTTATTATTCAATACGCCCCTGGTCAGCTCAGGTAGCTTGGTCACACAGGAAGTGGGTGATGGAAAATCCTTTGTGGGAGGTACTGGGAGGTGGGGGCAGCATCTTTTTTATCTGTGGCTTCTGGCACCTCCCCCAATTGAGCACTTCCCCTTGCCCTGAGGGAAGTGTCAGAATGATACCAGACCATCCTATCTCCAAAGCTGCACCCCTTCCACTGCACATAACACCTTCATTATTGTTTTCTCTTTCTCAACACTCCTGCATTTAATATAGTGCTCTGCACACAGTAGGTGCTTAATAAAAGTTTAGGGGTGAGGTGAATGATAGGATTGGGTGGCTGCCGCCAACCTAGAGATATATGCATTTGATGGGGTCGAACGTCTATTTCAAGACTGAGATAGGGGCTTAAGGAATATTAAGAATTATTCAAAGCCTAAACATTTGCACCACTCTCTTCTCCCACCTCCAAGAATCCAGGAGAGACAATGTTCAGCATGGGTAGCATTGTACAGCAATTAGTCAGTGACGCACAATCATCTTGTAAAGGGCATTATGGGAAAATCTTCTCTACTGAAGCCATCACAAAATTTCAGACTTGTTAAGGCCCTCAAGCTCCAAGCTTCAAGCCATACTTCAGTAGGAAACCCTTGCTCAAGGTGAGTCATTCTTATAGGGAGTCCTTCGGATCACAGGATTTGAGAGCTAGAAAAGGGCACCTGTCTACCAGCCAAATAGAGGGTACCTCGTCCAATCAATACCTCAGCAGGAATTTCTCCAGCAACATCCCGATCAAGAGGGTCATTACCTGCTCCAGTATTTCCAGTAGCAGTGAGTTTACTCTCTACATTTTAATCAGGATGGTCTCCAATCAAGCTCTATTTCCAGGATTCCTGAATACAAGAAGAAGGAAGCTGGGAAGAGATGGTGATTCAACAGGAAGGAATGACTGGATTCAGGACCAAAGCTAAGGCTAAGAGAGGTGGCCTGGAAGGCCACCTGGAACGAACAGAGCAAGATTTCTACTTGGAAACTGACATGATAGCGTTGAAGAATCATGGGTGAAGCACAGAAGGGATCACAAGAGCCATTCCCCAAGAGATGAGTGGTCAGGCAGGTTTTAAAAGAGGACACGCAAATTAGCAACAACCACATGAAAGAATGCTACAAGCCATTAGGAAGAAAAATGCAAATTAAAACAACTTTAGAGGTTTTACCCCCACACCCATCAGCAAGGACGGCAAAAGACAAAGATGCTACACTTTGGAGGAACCTTCAGAAGACACTTGATGAAAAGATGTGAATTGGTCTGATTGTTTTGGAAACAATTTGGAACAATATCCAGAGCCACTAAATTGTATGTTAACTTTTAAACCAGAAATACCACTTCAGAGTACATGTGGCAAGAAGGCAACAATTTATTTAAAAAAAAAAAAAAGGAGGTAGCTGAGTGGCTCTGGTGGATACAGTTTCGGACCTGGAGTCAAGAAGACACAAATTCAAATCTAGCCTCATCTATTTACTAGCTGGGACTGACTTACTTAATTTCCCTCAGCCTCAGTATACGTAACTGCATGGCTTCATAGGTCCCTTATACCTCTAAATCTGTACCTGTATGGCGCTAATTTTATAGAGGTTGCTGGGTGGTCCAGTATATAACATGCCAGACCTGAAGTCAGAACAGACTGGAGTTTGAATCTAGCCTCACACACTTGCTGATTGTATGACCCTGGGGAGTCAGTTCACCTCAGCCTCAGTTTCCTCATTTATAAAATGGGGGCAATAATAACATCTACCCCCCAGGGTTGTTGGGAGGTCAAAATGAGATAATACTTGCAAAACACTTCACAAACCTTTCAAAAAAAAAGCTAATATTAACAACAATAAGTATTTCCAGCATCCCTTTTTGTAGAGCAAAGAAGTAGAAGGGAA